CTATGATCAATTTGGTAAAACAAGCTGGGACCGAGGTGTGGCGAAACCCTTGATCAAGAACCTCCCATGTCCAACCAGCATTTAATGTATAAAGGATGACAGGATGACAGGAGCTCGTTTTTGTGAAGAGGTCATCCTTATGATTTTTTACGACTATTACGCGAAGTCATAGTAAGAAGGCACCTTCCTGGGGATCGGAACTGAGGCCAATGACCCCAAAAATCTACTAAAACCATCCGAACTTAGGGTTTAGGGTTGAATCTGTCCGGGCTGAGTTGGCTAAAGCTTGGTTTTGCTAGAGATGCCGAATACAAGACATCAGTCAAGCTGCTGTTGCCGTCATTGTCCATCTGCCCGTACTTGACCTCGACACCCGAATCATCCGAAAGCCCAGTCCCACAGAACGAAGAGCTAATGCCGGAAAGGGCCTGGAGATACAAAGCAATGGATGGCTTGACCACTCGCAACATTCTCGGGTGTGACGTTTCTTGCTCCGTTTGGAAGTGTTTCATAAACCGGGATGCCCACATTCTCACTCGTCTGGAGTAACACCCCACACACAGGCCCTCTCCGGCACAGTTCGAGAAGCGCCCATGTTACAAAGCACACCTGATTCCAACAACTTCTCAGGAGGATCCCATGAAAGCAGTGTGAAGTAGGGCATTTGTTTGCCTCTTGCATGGCAGAACGAGTCGCGAAGCAAGATTATGCTAGAATGGTATATAGAATTCGGTCATCGGACGCTTTGATTATACAAGTTAGGCCATCTGCTCTTCAGAAGCAAGCAGCACGGAGTTCCGGCCATCTTAGACCCCGCATTCAACTTGACTAGGCAAATTACTGCCTCTCTTGACATACGCATTGTCCCTGTTTTTAAGTAACGAGTTCGTCATCACATATGCAGGTCACTTCCGAAAGCACCTCGGGACCTCCATCCCCTTCAGTGCAGCTCGACACAGTCTCTTCCACTGTTCCTGCTGGCATCCCCACTCCCATCACAGTATCCAGACTCGCTTCCAGCTAAACAAGATTTGTCAAAGCCAGCCCCAGAAATGAAAAACAAAACGATGATAGCTTCATTGATCCCTTTAGTGTCAGAGCATTGACCACAGCACAACAATGCAAACGTCCCCGGCATTCTGTCATGTCACAGCCAGGTTCGCTGGAAGCGGCTCATCGTCTCTCAAGTGGCAATTCCTGACTCAAACGGGCGAAAGGCCCCACGGCTTGAGAAGAGTTGTCAAGCTTTTGCGCATACACAGAAACTCCCAGATGCTTTACACTAGAAGCCTGAAAGTTTGAAACCCAATAGCCTCTATCCTTAAGAGTAATGTATAGGGAATCCCAGCACTATTTGGCCTTAATCCGGTTTCCAACTTTATGGGGTTTAGTGTAATGGGCCCCAAAACCCTATTCTAATTATTTAAGGCCCCTATTAAGGGTGTAGGCAATACAGGAGTTTAGGTTGCAACTTTATGGGGTTGACTTTAGACAGCTTGGTTTAGGAGCTGCTTGGGGCTTTCTGGTCCCCAGAGGCTCCTTGAGCTATGCCTCGCTACAGTTTACCCTCTCACAACTCGGACACAGCCAGGCGAGGTTCATAGGTGCAGAGTCGGTGTGAAAAGTGCTTCGGGGGATTCTCTCTTGCACCGGTTCACCACAGGGATAATTCACAAGTACCTCGCTACAGTTTAGGGTTTGGGGTTTCTGAACTTGGCGACCTCGACCCTGTTCAAAACCAACAAGTCGAAGATGTTGAACAGGTTGTCCGAATCAGCGCTTTGGAATCCGCCCAAAGCTGAACCTCGATAGAAACTATACACCCTAAACCCCTGACAAACCCTCTAAACCCACCGAAAAGCCCCAAGCGAAACCTGAAACCCCGAAGAGTTAGAACTCTACATCACCAGAACTGCGAAAAGCGCTAAGACAATTTTTTCAGGGATTCGAGGTACGATCAGAAGGTATCTAAGTCTCCCAAAACAGCAGAAAGCAAAGCTTCAGGGCTTCAGGATCTGGGGTGTCTGGGCTTTTCCCTCTCGCATCGCTGGGATCAATGCCCACTGGCGCTTGGGGTTTCAGGGCTTTCCGAACACGGGCTTATACGTTGAAAAAGTCCTGGTATGCTTAAAACAAGTTTTGGAGATCTAGGGCCAAACCCACAGATATATGGTGCACGGACTGGGGCGCGGCCTGGTGCAGATGATGGGTTCTGATGTATATTGAGGGTAAGATCCATAATATATGGTGCGCAGACTGGGGCGTGGCCTGGTGCAGATGATGGGTTCTGATGCATAGTGAGGGTAAGATCCATAATATATGGTGCGCAGACTGGGGCGTGGCCTGGTGCAGATGATGGGTTCTGATGCATAATGAGGGTAAGATCTAGGACTATCTGGTGTTGTTTGGAATCTTTGGTCGATACCACCGAGGTGTCTCTAGCTCAAAGTACCAACTAAGCAGCGAGATGCGTGGCGGCATCATGTCAAGCAGCTGTGCTCAGAATACAGCTTACCGGGCATTTGCAGCAGTAGATTCTCCCGTTACTTCTTTCATAATTCAGGAGTCACCGTCACAGTCGTTGCTCATATCTCCCAAATCCTGATTCCTAAATTCCTACCATATGACTTTACCATCTGTGTCTGTTATTGTTTATGTTATGTTATGTCATGTCACTTGCAAACATCTATCGGCGGCATGCGGCCAGCCTCGAGCCGGATCGCGAACCGAAGCTTGGCAAAACTTGCTGGGAGAAGCTGAGCCAGTTCACATTTCGACAAAACCATGTTTGTGAATGTAGCTTCAGGAACAGATCTCGCTCGCGGACACCAGTGCAGAATATAGAGAACATCTGCACGTGCTGGCCATCAGCTTTCTTGCAGCTGATTGGCCTGCCCCCCAAGCTGCTTCAGAAGAAGCTGCGTGAACCTCTCGTGTTCCATTTGCAAGAGTTGAGCAGTGAGCAGTGCAGCCGACAATCTTCTCGACAGCTTGCACCTTCAGGTAATTTCGACAGCTTGCTCGGGTTCGGGTGCTCCATCCTTTGCGCTGCGTGCGCTGGTTGGGACAGGAAACTATGTAGAGCAGCATGCCAGCGAGCTTCAAGCACCGCGCCGTAGTTTCAGTTGGTTCGACCACTGCTTTTGTTAGCCTGGTTTGCTCTTTGATTGAGTCAGTACATACATCCTGCTCGCTGACCATAAGGATGCTACGCGGGCATGGTTTCTTGATCATCATCAAGTTGGTCACTGCTACCACGATTTGAGCTCTGTTCGGACTCGCAGTTTTGCCTCGGTGATGGATTCCTATCAAGTCTTAATTCCGTCCTGTGTCCTTGAAGGACTGGAGGCCGCTGTGCAGTTCACGGCGGGCATTGCGAAGCGGCTCCGTTGCCTCACGAGTCCGCAACGCAGCCACGTTTGATTGCAAGTCCGGTCAAACCATAGGCTTTCCTTGTCGCCAGGGCTACAGACGTGATGATATTTACATCGCGGGCTTCGTCTGCAAACTGTTTTCGCAGGAGTCAATTGTTCCATGAGCTGATGTTACTCAAGTTGCTTGCATACGGCCTTGCAGGAGCGTTCTGGACGCTTCGCTGCAGAGTTTTCAGACATGCAGCGCATGTTTACGGATTCAAACAATGCGACTTGGCAGTGTGTAGCTTCCAGACGCCCTGAGATTTCACGCATGTTGGCGTGGTAAGCTCCTTGTCCGAGGCAGCTCGAGCGAAACCGTTCATTGAAGCCAGCCGGTATATCAGAGCATACATGCCCAGGCTTGGATTGTGTTTTCTTGACTTGATGCGTGGGAGTTTACGACTGGTAAAGATTCCGATCTGATCTTTCTGCTTTCGTGTCAGGATAGCGATTCTTGAAAACGTGGACGGCTGCCAGAAGAAGTCGCAACACACGGATGAGGTCTCGGAGTATCAGGCTGCCGTCGGGACCGTTTTTTGTGTCGCAGGTGCAGCTGGTATGATGTTGCTGTTCCCGAATCCCGAAGCCCCTGTTGTTATTGCTGAGCATAGCCACATGTGTTGTGTCGCATGTGGATCAGAGGATCCAGCAGAGCTGCAATTTCAGTGTAGATCTCTGAGTTGCTGCCTTTTGCAATGGTGTTCAGTGCACTTCTTGCGATGGCCCGGGCCAACCAAGCTGGCTATCGCCGCCGCTCCAGGGGGAGTGACGAGAGTGGTGTTTCCGAACAACCAGACAGTGCAAGTGTCGAGCTGGATTCAAAAAAGCAGATTTTTCTGGCTTCCAGATCCAGGGGGGAAACGCATGGTTTGAGAGTTGCATTGGGGAGAATGCGTGCCAAAGCTCTTGCAGAGACGCAGCATCAAGTTCATGTGTCTGACATGCAGCAAAAAGTTGCGTCCGTGGGATTTTCAAACTGGTGCCGTGGAAAACGTTCCGCGGTGGCGCGGAAAGTGCCACTTGCTTGCAGAACAGGGAGCTGAAATCTTCATTCTTACATTATGTCGTGTGACATGTTCTTGTTTGTGTTGCGTGCTTGTGGTGCAGCCAAAGGGATTGTTTCAGCCATATCCAGCTGTCCGGTGAGCAGTTCTTGCCCTACACCGTCACGGTTGATCGAAGCAAACAAACGCGCAAAATCAATCACCTGGCATGCCTCAGCCACTTCCATGCGCAGCGGAGTGGACTTTTGAGCTTCGTGACTTCCCAGGCCGCGTGCTCAAACTCAAACACTATAGATTGTACCGTACCGTACTGGGCCGTACTTGTTAATGTACCTTCGTTTTGTTTGTGTCAGTGATTGAAATGTTGTTGGTGCAGGCAGCAAGCCACTGCATAGTGACTCGGCTGGTCGACGACACCAACGTTTGGCTAAATCCTCCTGGTGAAGAGATCTTGCAGGTGAAACCTCCAGATCAGGAGAATGATGCTGCAGAGGGCACGAAGTCCAAGAAATCCAGAAAGAAGTGTCACCAAATCATGGCATGTGTGCAACGCTTATCCATTCGGAAGGTGGGGAAGCAGATGATGGATACCATTCAACTGCATTGTCCAGGTCAAGTTTTGCCAAAGGCGACTTAGTACCCAGTTTACTAATACATGTTCCGTGTTCCGACGTTCCGGTTTGATGTTAGCTATTTAAGTAAGTGTAACGTATGTAACCTTGTTATGGTCTCCTTGTTGCTAGGCGAACACTGCGACGCTGCACGACCGCATGCAGCGCTTCTTCGTGTGTGGTGCGCGGGGTTCCGCTGAGCTTATGGGGGGAGACTCATTGACTGCTGGATTGCGCCGTATACCGTTGCAGGTCGTTGTCACATGTGGAGTGCTCAGTATTGCAAAGCCTGGTACATTCACAGTGTAAGACTATGTCTGATTTCCTGCAAGGTAAACTGTCTGTCTGTCTGACATCAACAAGTAATTGTGAGGCACCGATTCTTTGCCAGCCAACGTGGCCGCAAATGCTCTCGAGCAGCACCAGCTTCTGGCGTCCCGAGCACGTGATGGACCAGATGCCCCAGTTGTGGGCCACATCTATTCATACTGTGCCCATCATCAGAGCTGTCTTGCATCAAAGCCCATCGTCCTGTCCGTGCCTGGAGTTGCGACAGGCGGGGGTGAAATCTTGAAGTGTTCATTCACCCTCCCTCCCCTGCTCCCCCCTCGCGTGTTGGGACCTCTGCCTCCTCCCCTGCACTATCACTTTCTTTCTCCCGCCTCGTTCGTGCTTTGTCTGTTGTGTTGCCGTATACGTAGATTTCCCAGGCATGGTTCGCTTGGCAAATGCGGCAAAGAGCAGCCTTTACAATCGGAAATTGCAGCAGTGTGTGGATTCGTTGGTTGCCAACATGCAAATTATTTCAGTGGCTGAATTACCTGCTAGAGTGCGGAACAACATGGACAAGAACCGTCGGAAGATGAAGGGGTGGTCGAACTCCCTCACGGAATCCGAGCGGGAGCTTCTGATCAACATTCTGAATGAAGATTGGTCCATCCATATGTCCGAATGCGGATCTTTGGTGCACTACTGCCCTGCTGGTTGTTGCTCCGACAGGCAGAACACCCAGGCTAAGACGAAGTCTGTGTTGGGAAACATATTCAACCTGTACGAAACACCCTTGCTGTATAGGTGGAAGTATGTTACACCAGCTGCGGAGTTCTGGCTGCGTGGGCTTCAGATCCACGGAATTCTCCAACACGTTTGGGAAACATGTTTGGGGGATATGGACCTGAGTGCAGCCGAAGCAGTGGATGAATCGCATGATAACCCCGACCTCGCCCCAGCCGAGCAGCAGAAGGTCAGGGCTTGCAAGGTCCTTGCATTGATGTCACGAGATGATGCTGTAGCAGCCTGACCTTTCCATGCAAGGCTGTATTAGTCTCGCAACTCCCCCTACTATGTTTCCGTGTGTGCACTATTTTGGGAACGTACTCACGGGATAAGTTAAGTAAAGCTAAATCAAGATGTATACCTTCGCATGGCTGTTCATGATTTGCTCTGGCAAGCTTCTCCAAGATATTGCTTTTCGTAGCCCCGCTGAGGGAGTACTCGGATTTTGTTTCCTTGGTCGAGACAGTGAGAATCCGAATGCGCCTTGCGCGCCAGGGTCTGCTTGTGAAGACCACATGTCCGCACACAGCGGACGACTTGATTCGAATGAACCTGTCTTTGCTCAACGGCGAAAGAGGCATGGATGTCTGCACGTCTTACGCGGAGCTTCTTCGTGCAGATCCGGATTCCTTGGACGGGGCTTGGCACGAGGAGATGGAACTTGACTTTGGCGAGAGCGTGCCTGCTGTGCTCATGGCCATGTGTGATGCCTTTCGAAGACTTTACATACGGTATCAAGGCTTGCCGTGGCAGTTGCTTCGAATTGCCGAGATGACGCCTCAAGAAGGCTTGCAGTTCCTGGGTCGTCTCCGCCGGAAGGTCTCTGGCTGTCGTCGCTGCGAAGATCTGCTGTTTGCAAATAAGGTGCCTGGCTTATATTAATTTTCTATGATTTGAGTTGCGATATTGTCAGTATCAGTGGTACAGTGAGCGTGCACGCGCTCTGGATCTCTAGATAGATAATCGGCGGACAGCAGTGCAGTGGTAGAGCTAGGTCGGGGAAGTGTCAGGCGTTTTGGCAGTGTGGTTTATTGCAGGACCATTCTGGCTCGTAGCACTCGCAGTGGTGGCTGTAGAGCCGAGCGTTAAGAAGATTCCATGTTTACCAATTTGCGCAGCCTGACCTCGCCGTTGAAACGTCGCAAGCTGGCACGCACTGAAGAGAAACATGTGGAGCTCGACAACCCGGAAGGAATGGAAAGCGAAAGCGAAAAGGAATTTTCGCCTGATGTTGTGGTGTGTTTGGACATCTCAGACGAAGATCTTCCGCGAGAGGGTTGTGATGATTGCAGCGTTGAATGTGAACATGAGGCCGATCGTGATAGTGGCAGTGGCAGTGGTGTTGCGGATGCGATTCCTGAAGAGACTGCTATGGAGGCCCATGACACCCACTTGCGTAATTCCAATCCGCTTGAACCAGGAGACGGGGATGCAGCTGCTGGGCCTTCAATTCACGCGAACAACGGCTCCTTTGCGGAGGAGGAGCAATCGGACTCGTCGAGTAGCCTTGATGATTCGTCGAGCTGTTCAGATCCTCGGGAGGATGCAGACCATCATGCGGCGCCTTGCTGGGAGTTGCCAACGTCAGCAGGTCCTCCTCCTCCGCCGCCCCCGTCAGGTCCAGGCCACGCTTCGCCTGCGGACACTCCGCAGGTGCTTGAGGTCACGTTCTCGAGCACATCTTCTGTGAGTGTGGTTGCTAATCCGCCACGAATGAGTGGCCTTTCGAGTGAGTCTTGGAGCGAAACACACACGACGACCTGGGTGCTTCCGGAGACATGAATGAATGAGGCCGATCGATAGTTCGCTGTATGGATTCTGTACAGCTCTTTGTCACTGTCTGTGTATATCACTGTATCACCGTGACAAAACATGTTTGATTCCTTTGTGACTCCAGTAGGCTTTTGTGCTTGCGTCGCAAGTGGTGCGACTGCACTTGGGCGCAGTCGGCGATATGTAGCTAGGAACGGGCAAGTCATCGGAGGAGGCATGTGCAGAAAGAGGGAAGTGAAGCATTTGTAATTCCATTCGAGTAGTTCACTTCTTCTGACGCCAGGTCTGTTTGTTCAGTTCATCTAAGGTTTTTATGGACTTCGTCCTGGGTGTTGAAGATTCAGAAGAGCAAAGAATGCGCTATGGCCGCGTGAAGGGCGTGCTTCGTGATCTCCTTTTGGAACTACCCGCCTCGTCAGTGGAGATAGAGAAGCTTCACTCGAACACCCTGTTGGATGTGGCGTCTTCCAGAGGTTCGGCATTCCAGTGTATTACGTGCCAAATCAATAGCTACACCACCTCCGTGGCTTTGGAGCACCAAATCTTGAAGACTGAAGCTGAGCACCTGTGCTTTGGTGGCGCCGGGCGCAGGAAAGTTGTGCGAATGCTGAAGAATCGCTTGACGGACAGTTGCGGGCCAAACAACTTGTCCACCAAGAAGAAAGCACCAAGATACTTCGATGTCCACCGGCCAAAATGAGTATCAGCATCAGTATCATTATGTAATTATGAATTAACGCACACAAATTAAAACTTTGTTTGTTTGGCGCACTCTCTGTTCCCAAGCCCAAACCTCAAAGCATGCCCATCCAGGTCAGGGTCAAGCTCCAAGCCACGGCCTCGAGCTTCGAAGAATCGCCGTGTGAGCGCCTACAACGCTTTCCAGGTTTTCTGTCGGTGCCTTGATGGCACGGTTTTGTGCTGACTATGAATGTTTTCGTTCCTTTTTTCCAAGGGGATATCATAAGTAAATTAAATTACTCTATAGCGCGCATCATAAAATTTTATGATGCACGCACGCATCATAAGAATCCGACGGGTAGTAAGCACACATGTATATAAATCTTTCATACTTAACTTAGATTATAGATTGGCTGTGTTTTTCGCGATTGCTTTGCAGGGGAGACATGCCGCGTGCCAGAGTTGGTTCTGGAGAGTCGAATTCGAACCAGAGCTCTGTAGCAGAACGTTGGAGACGCCTGCCGATGCAACAAAAGAAACATTTTCAGGAGGAGGCCCACAAGCTTCAGCAGGCGCGTGAGGAGATATGCAAGAGAAAACTTGGTGACGTTTCTTCGGAGACTTCATCAGGACTTCGGGGGTCGCAGCTAAAACGATTGAACAGGGCCAGGTTGACAACCAGCGTCAAAGACATTGCGGATCTGGAGGTGTGGAAGACTGGACTGCAAGTAGCTGACCATGCATCCCCCTTGCAGGCCAAGCATGTCTTGTCAGGCATGTCAGACGCAGAGTTTGTGGAAGAACTCAAAAAGGTTTTTGGGTATGATCGCGACGTCGTCCCAAACCCTGCCGTGCCCCAGTTCCTTCGGAGTTGCGAGTGGCATCACTGCGGTATATGCCAACAAGATGAGCTCTTTGAAAATTCGCAGACTCTGATGCGTCAGTACGACCAGCAGCTTCATGCTAAGCATTTGGGTACAGTCCCAGTCATCGCTTGCATTCGCAGTGATCAGATGTCGCAGTGGTTCTTTCAAGGCTGTGTTTGCAAACGGCCGGTTCCCCTCCACATAGGCTTACACCTGTGGGTCCGCAAACCATGTTGCCTGTGCATGTCTGTGGTTGACGGCCGGCCTCGCCTGTCTTCCGTACAACAGATGCTTTTGGTGTCGCTGAGAAAGCATGTCGCGGCTGGAGGTTCCTTTGATGATTTCGACGTCGTGGCTCCACGCCTGGTATCTGAAGGGATTTCTATGATTTATGGTCCGGTATATTAAAGTTACGTCTTATTATATTTTATGATAGTAATAATAATAATAACTTATTAAACTGTTGTTTGTAGTTAGTAGTAAGTAGGTGTACGGATTTCGGTTTAGGCTGTTCAGGGTTTAGGGGTGGGGTGTAGGCGGTTTCGGCATAAGTTTCAGGGCTGTGGTTTAGGTGTTTAGGCCGTTTAGCGGTTTAGCGGCTCCGTATATGTTGTTACGGTATGGTGCTGATACGGTTTGCGGACGGCGCACGGTGTACCGGTGTCGTGTACATGTTGTAAATTCAAAGGTTGGTTAGTTTTACTCCGCGTCTTGTATCAAATATTTTTCACCTGCCATGCGTGCAGGTTGAGTTCTACCAGTCCTTCAGCAGCTATCACGAGGATGCGGATCTTGTGCTAGCGCTTCCCAGTCTTGATGCTACGCAGAGTTTTCATCTGGGCCTTGGCTATGCACCTGCAGTTCGGGAGGGACCGGCTGCCGGGCGGAAGACCACATCCTTGCCCTTTGGCATGGCAAACATCTTGAAAAAGTTTCAGAAGAAGGAAAGCACATCCCGGCAGAGTGCAGTGGTGGGAGGTACAAAAGGCCCCAAAGCAGCTGCTTCGGCAAGCAGCGCGGATGTTGGTGTGCCAGACTCAGCCGTTGACGGTGGAGATGGCCCAGCTGCAACCGGGGCATCCTCGTCGCAGATGCCCAGGCATTTTTAGATAGAGATTTTTTTTCGCGGTTTACTTGCCCGCGTGACGTGCTCAAAATTATTGTGGGCAGCTAGATATTTGGATTGCGCTGTGTACAGGTCAACCCTCGAAGCGGATGAATCTCCGATGATCCTATCGGTTTCGGCTGAGCTGGAGCTTGCTGCAGCAGTGCGGGAGGAAGCAGACCTGGCCCTGGATGGTTCCCAAGGTGTCGCGAAGCCTACAAGCTCTGCCAGTGGCCAAGCATCTTCATCTGCGATGGTCGCACCACATACCGGAGTTACCTTCCATGGCCAGAGTCGTCTGGGCATACAGGATGTAGGCAAGGCTTCTCGTCGTGGAATGATATGCTTGCATTGTCACAACGGCATCGACAAAGGTGCAGTGAGGTTTGTCTATGCTTTCAAGCATAACAAACCTGCGCGCAGCATTCATCCTGACTGCCTGAGTCAGATCTCTCCTGCTTGCGTGGGCCCTTCGGTCACTGTGCTGCGCAAGCTTTTGCAGAACCAGAGTAGAAGTTTCAGTGCAGGTGAGATTGATGCCTGTCGTGCAGCCTTGTCTGCACTTGAAGTCTTGGACTCGTAATTCGGGAACGTGTCAGTAGTAACTTCTAGTCTAGCCATTTCCAGCCTCTTCTAGCTTTGGCTTTAACTTCTAATTCTAATTCTAATTCATCTATAAATTGTATTTCACCCCTACGACGCCCTACGACCCTATGTCATATCATATCTGTTTTTTTGGTGTTTGTGTGTAACTTTTGCTGCATTAACCTAGGACCACCGCACCGTCACTAGGAAGCCATCGAAGTAGCCCCGGCCCCGAGACATTGACATGGCTTGCAATATCGCGGTCTGGCCATCAGACCCTGCATGCAAACTTGCATTTCCGCATCTGTCTTGAGTCTTGCGCGTTTCGGACGAGATGTGGCAGTTTGCTGAATTCAAGCATTTGTCCAAACGGTTGCGCTTGCAAGCTTCCGAACATCCTCAGCCTTGCATCCCAAAGCCTAGCTTCAAAGTGCACGCGCTAGCACGCAACCGGCTGGCACTACTGCCGGTGCCATGACAAGCGCAGTGTGCGCTGGAGAAAAAACGGTCTTCGCAAAACACGGTCTTGCGCAAGGAGGGTGACAAAGAGAGAGAAAGAGACAGAGAGAGAGAGAGAGAAGCAGGCTAAGAGATGTGACACGTCTGTGGGGTTTGTGTGCTGTCGTGCAGACTCCGCTGGATTTCATTCTGCGCGGACGGCTCCCTCGCCCTGGAGACGAACCGGAGCTCATAGGATTAGAGCACATTCCAGATTATCGGCTGCGGGTTTTCAAACTGAGGACCATGTGCCCCTTGTGCATTTGTACACGTCTTACTTATGCAGTTGTTGATCGCAACGGTGGAATTGCTTTTGATCGCAGGAGCCGCGATTTTGGCATTCCGCAAACCCGCACTCGTCTGTATTTCATCATGGTGCATTCTTCAGCCGGTTCTGAGAATTGTTTGGAGCCTCGGCAGAACAAAACTCATGAACTTGTCACGTCGCAGTCCACGACGATACTAAACTAAACTGCAGGATGAGATGCAAGATTATCTGCGGGAGTTCGAGACTGCCAGCTTCCAGTATGGGTATGACATGTCGATTGGCGAAGCCGTCCGCTATGCAGAAGATTTCGAAGAGGTTTGCCATGATGGCGCGATTCGCGAGCCATCTCGATGTTCCAGCTCTGCGATGTTTCGCAAGGCAGGCCTATCAGATCTCAGAAATCATGAAATGTAATGACTATTAGACTTTTATAATTTATAATATATTATAGTAATCATTAGGCTATCGTCGCAGTAATATATAAATATAAAATAATGTACGAACATGTATAAATACAAGCTTTAATTAGTATCTCAAATTACTTATGTAACTTATGTAACTATGTACCACAGTAATAGAAACAGTTAATAATTTAGTAATGTACGTCGTGTGCGTTTGTGTTCACACATAGTCACATAGACATAGACTCACATAGTCACATCGACGAGACGACAGGTCTGGGCTATGACTCCTGTGACTCTGACTCCGTATATGAGAATGTGTTATGGTTATGTTATGACTCAGTTTCGGATTCACATCTCATCACTCGTTGGATGCAAAAAAAGAGGCAACCCAACCCCCCCAAAATCAGGCCAGGGAGGGGGGGTTGGGTGGGGCTGGGCAGCAGCCCCATCCCCCCCCCCCCGGCCCCGGCCCCGGCCTCTCCTCGACCCCGGCCCCGGCCCCGGCCCCTCCCCCCTCCCCCCCGCCGGCCCCACCCCAACCCGGCGCCGGCACCCACCCAAACCCCTTCCACCAGGCCTTGTTTCGAGGACCACGCCTCCTCACTATGCTTAATCTGGCACCAGGAGCCACACCAAGGCGTGTTTCGAGGTGGTGCCCGCAATGGTGCCAGATTAAGCATACTGAGAGGGGTGTTTCCTGGTTACGGGTTCCGACGGTTCCGACAGGTTCCGAATTGGGGTGAGGGGTGGGTTCGAAAGGGTGCGGGGCACGGGGCGGGGGCCGGGTCTGGGGCAGGGGCACCGACCCGGTCTGGGGCGAGCTAGTGGCCCGATGCCCTCACTGCCCCCCGCCCCCGATGCCCTCACTGGCCCCCGAAACTGCCCTCACTGCCCCCCGAAAGTGCCCTCACTGGCCCGAAAGTGCCCTCACTGGCCCCCGAAAGTGCCCCTCACTGGCCCCCGAAAGTGCCCTCACTGGCCCCCGAAAGTGCCCTCACTCAAAGTGCCCGAAAGTGCCCTCACTGGGCCCCAAAAGTGCCCTCACTGCCCCCAAAAGTGCCGTCACTGGCCCCCGAAAGTGCCCTCACTGGCCCCCGAAAGTGCCCTCACTGGCCCCCGAAAGTGCCCTCACTGGTGCCCTCACTGGTGCCTTCACTGACACTTGGCGCTCTGAACAAATCACTGCACGGACGATGCAAGCAGCAGCCCTCGTATTTTGCGGCTGCCCTGGCCCTTGATCACTTCAACAAGACAGGCTGTGCTTCGTGCGAAGCGTTCCGAAAACAAAGACAAAGGGGGCTCCACTTAGCCAGGCCAGATGTGTTTTACTATTTTTACAAACAACAGAAAAAGAGGGGCTCCAATTTTGTCTCAAACCGTGTTGATGCTTTTCAAACAACTCCGTTCGGTTTTCTGAAGCTACGTTTCAGTAGTGGGCCCTCGCCGAAGTGCTGGGCCAGTGCTGGTTGTTGAGAAAAGAAAAAACTCCCTAAGAGTCCCTACAAAGAGGTCCCTGTCCCTAACCCTAACCCCTCGGCTCAAGTTCGGCTCAAGCGACAGCACACCCACCACGGGACAGCACAGCCAATGTAAATATACATAGTATAATATGAGCAATATTATTGTATTACGTGTGTATATTTTGCTTAAATATAGTATTCCCTCAGCCGCAACCTCTCCGACCTTAACTGTTGCTCACTCCGTCCGTCCGTCTACTGCAGTGTCGTCGTCTACCATCTACCGTCCATCTATGAAAATTGTCTAAGTTAATCTAAGAGTCAGGGCCACCTGCACCCCCAGGCTGCAGAAGTTGGGCATGCGGAGCCAATCTCATCGTCGGAGCTGGTATCGAGGTTGGGCGAGCCTGAGTAGTTGCTCCCAGACTTGCCGAGGAAGGCTGCCATTGTCCCGGTGGTTGTGCCGGAGGCGGGAGCGGCGCCTCGTCTGAAGGCAGGTTCGGCGCCGGCGTATTGGGGGGCGGCGCCTTCGGTCTGGTTGCCGCCAGCTTACTGGTGGACTGCTCCACCGCCACCAGCTTGGAGAGCGCTGTTTCCATGCGCCCTTCCACATACTGGACCTGCGTCTGCAACTTCTCCAGGTTCTGGTTCATAGCTTTCATCTCCGTCTGGAGGTCTTTGACTGCCACCAAGATGCTGGTGTAGTCCGTCCCTCCGTCACGGGTGCCCCCTTGACGGCTGCCCATCGCGGCATGGATCGAGTCCAACTTCCTGTGTGCATGTTGGAGCCCCTTGCTCAAGTCCGTGCCGATGGTCCCCAGTTGCGTGCCAAGGGCATTCAAGCGGCCATTCTGGTCCCACGACGAATCCTCAACAGCTTTGAGGGTTCGTTGGGCAAGGTCCTCCGTATTCACGATGACCTCGCGAATTGCCCTTATGTCTGCTCCATGCTCAGGCAGAGGCCCCAAAGTACTCTTGAGCCCATTGAGCGCCGGCATGACGGTGGCCTGCAAAGGCCCGAAGGCATCTCTCATTGCGGCCTCAAGCCTAGGCTGTGAGTAGATGCTGCTGTCCAAGATACGCTTGAGCTCCGTCAGGGTGGCTGCGAGGTGTTCTTTGCTGTCCGAAGCTGCCGAAGTTGTCGAGTTGTCCACGCAGAGCTTAATCTCTTGCAAGCTCTGTTTGAGCTCTTTCAGGGCCTCCACTTCCACAGGAGTGAGATCCTGCGGCAAGTTAGGAAGACCCGGCGAGCCATCATCCTTCTTCGTCTCGGGGGCCGGTGCAGGTGTGGGAGACGACGAGGTCTCCAGAGGATCGGCCTTTGCTGCCGGCCCGTCCCCATGGTCCTCCCCGGCATGCTTCACTTCAGTGCTTTCCACTTCTGATGCGGTTTGCACAGGAGGAGGCGGTGCCTGGAGGGGAGCGGTATCAGCGCTTCGTTCCATGGCCGTGGCATCTGGCAGCTTGGCCTGTTGCTTTGTGGGAGTTTCCACGCACAAAGCTCCCTTGCGAGAATACCCATATGCTCCGATATAGGTTCAAATCAATCGATCTATTGATTTTTAAGTCGTTTCAATCTTCTATTGAAAACAGACTTTTCGAGCTGAAAATCAATATCGGGAAAATGAGGATCTATTGATTTTAACCCACTTCCGCGATTGATTTTTCTATTGGTTCCACGCTTGATTTTTCTATTGATTTTTATGCTAGCCAAGAAAATTTCTATTGATTTTACAGGCGACCAAAAATGTCCTCTATATATATATATGTATATATATATATATATATATGTATATATATATATATATGGCAGGTTTATAAGAGCCTGGAAAGGCAGGATGTTATTGTTCTGTCTGGAGAGACAAGAAATCTATAGATTCGGTGCCTGGAAAGGCAGGATGTTATTGTTCTGTCTGGAGAGACAAGAAATCTATAGATTCGGTGCCTGGAAAGGCAGGATGTTATTGTTCTGTCTGGAGAGACAAGAAATCTATAGATTCGCCTGGAAAGGCAGGGTGTTATTGTTCTGTCTGGAAAGACAAGAAATCTATAGATTCGGTGCCTGGAAAGGCAGAATCAGGATGCAGTGTTTGGAGAAGATGTGAGCTACATGTGTGAAATATATGTATTAGTATAGGCTCAAGCTCTAGCACCTCGGCACGAAAGCTCGCCATGGAGACTCCTCCGAGGAACAAGAAGCGAGGAGCACAGGAGCTCGAGACGCCCCCTGCTGCCGAGAGAAAGAAGGCCAGGGCTCGAGCTTTGCAGATCGCGAATCTGCGAACTTTCGTGCAGTTCGCAACGGACTTGGCCGCCGTGCTGTCGCAGCTGGCACCGCCGATCCAGAACCCGGACGAGATGGAGACCGACGTGGAGGCTGAAACCGAGGTGATGGGAGGCCTGGATGTGCTGGACCAGAACGAAGAGCCGGAGAACAGCCAAGAGCCAGAGAACAGCCAGTGAGGGTGCAGAGCTTTGAAAGTTTTGTTGTCTAGAAGCAATCGGGTGCCAAGAGAGCATCGATGCATGGTGATAGAAGCTCAAATGTAAAAACATTATTTGCACGTGTCGTGCAGCTGTGTGGCTTTCGTGTCTGGAAAGGATCAGTATGTTGACGACAGAAAGAATGTCTGGACAGACACGAGTTGCACAGCAATGAAAGCATGTAAATGGACCCTGCAAGTTTTTGAAGCTTCGAGAAAAGTAGAGTAGAGGCGCCCTCTACACTTTAGAACCTATAGGACTTCTGAGCCATGGGCAAGGGAGGCGCCAGAAGACCGGCGACCCCGGACACCGACCTGGAGCACCTCTACGACAAGCTGGCGAAGCTCGTGAGGGAGCAGGAGCACCTGAGCTTCCACGGGTACCAGACACTGCGGCGAACCCAGGCATGCAGTGGTGCAGACATGGCCCAGCTGGAGAGCCTGCTCGATGCCTTGGTGAACTGCCAGCCGCTCTTGATCTTCAAGTACGCAGATCTCAAGGCCACGTACCAGAAGCTCCTCCAGAACTTCCCGGCACTGAAGAGCTCGCACCCTGTGGCAGTGGGGCCGCACTTGGCTGGGAAGTACGCCGACTGGACCATGACGCTTTGCAGCCATGCCAGGAGGTTGCGAGATGAGAAGCGGTTCCAGGAGGCCTCGAAGAACTTGACTAACTCGCAGGTGCACAAGCTGACGTCGATCAAGCAGATGATAGAAAACGGTGCCCTCGAGTACGGCGAGTACGAGGACAAGAAGTACACCGTGAAGTCTGGCAACAAGAAGCTGAAGAAGGTCAAGAAGGTCTTGAAGAAAGAGAAAGCAAAACAGCGAGCACAGGGATCCTCAGAGGACACGAAGGTGAAGAAGGCGAAGGCCACATCTTCGGATGAGGAGACTCTGCAGAAGCTTGCTGCTGCAGCGGACATGGCCTCGGACGACAGCATGGACACAGCGGAGCTCCTGGACTTGGAGGTGCCGCTCACCCCGAAGAAGGACAAGAAGAAGGACAAGCTCAGAGAAGAGGCAGAAGCTGTGTCGCCTATCCCTTCGAGAAAGAAAAGTATCAAAACGCTGGTGAAGCAGGACAAAAAGAAGTGCAAAGACGAGACGGAGGAGAAGGCAAAGCAGAAAGAAAAGAAAGTCTTGAAAAAGCCCGCCGCCGCAAGAAAGATGCCGCCGAGAATCCACTCCGGAGTCTTCAAGGATGTGATCCTCATGCCTTACAAGGAAGGTCGCTGGGCAGTCCGTGTCAGAGGAGGGCGACAGCTGTTTCAGATCTCCAAGTTCTCCGAAGCGAAGAACAAGATCCAGGCGACCAAGCTCATCAAGATGCTCCAGGCTGGCACGGACTTGAAGGAGGTGCTGGCGGCCAAAGCGAAGTTGTAGGACGCTGATCGCTGCGGTGTGAAAAGAGAGGTTTTGGTGCAGTGCTGTGGCAGTGACTGGTTCTTTTTCATAGGTTTGATTTGATTGCTGTGATGTCTGGACAGACACTTCGAGTTTCATTGTCTGGACAGACACTTCAAGTTTCAGTGTCTGGACAGACACTTCAGGTTCCAATGTCTGGACAGACACTTTCAAGTTGCAGTGTCTGGACAGACACTTTCAAGTTTCAGTGTCTGGAGAGACACATCAAGTTTGAATGTCTGGACAGACACTTCAAGTTTCAGTGTCTGGACAGACACTTCAAGTTTGAGTGTCTGGAGAGACACTTTCAAGTTTGAGTGTCTGGAGAGACACTTTCAAGTTTCAGTGTCTGGAGAGACACTTTCAAGTTTCAGTGTCTGGAGAGACACTTTCAAGTTGCAGTGTCTGGAGAGACACTTCAAGTTTGCTTGTCTGGAAAGACACTAAATGCATCGCAGAATGTCTGGACAGACATGAATGGAAGCACGTGCTGGTATGACAATATGACTTGGAATATGTGATATTCCGGCTCGAGATCCATCGAGCCCCGCCCGGGAAGCAGAAGTCTGAAGCCCAACCGTGCTGCCATGGAGAAGGGCGGCTACAAGGGCGGCCAGAAAGGCGACCACAAGGGCGACCGCAAGGCTCCTGCTTGTTGTTTTGAATGTCTGGACAGACATGCAGCACGTGTCTGGACAGACACATGAGATGATCGAGTGTCTGGATTGACAGGGACGTGACCGCGACATCGGCAAGGGCAAGACGAAGGATGATGTCCCGAATATCCGGGCAGAGAAACTTCGCAGAACTTTAAGTACCCCTAAACCCCTAAACCCTGCTAAACCCCCAAACCCATATATAAACCCTGCAGCTGAGGAACAGCGGCACGAGCAGCAGACTTTGGCGAGAGAACTGGCGGATGATCTGGATGGAATACTCCCCTGACATCAACTTCGAGACCCTTGGCATTAATTATTTTAGTGTCTGGATAGACACGAGAACCGTGAAGCCCTAGGTGTAGCTTTCCCAGTGTCTAGGTCTGGAGAGACACAGATAGGTGTAGCTTTCCCAGTACTAGTGTCTGGAGAGACACAGCCATGACAAAGCTGAGGCAGTTCATGGGCCTCATCGAGGCGATGGCGAGAAAGGTGTCGAGGATGGAGCCGGGAAGCAACGAGGCCCACCGGCCCTTTTTGAGGAGAGTTTTTGAGCTCCTCAGCTGCATAGAGAATGTCTGGACAGACAGTTTGAGTGTCTGGAGAGACACCTGAGAACCAAGACCCTGAAACCCAGTAAAAGCGCCGAAACCCTAGACCCTAAACCCAACACCCTGAACCCTACACCCTGAAACCTAAACCCCGAACCCAAAACCCTGAACCCTGAACCCTAAACCCTGAATCCCTGTCAGTGTCTCCACCCTCAAGACCTACGACCAGTTCATGCACTACCTCGCCAAGAGGGTGGTTGAAGAAGAAGATGATGATGGCCCCCAAGGACCCTAGCTGATGACAATTTTGAAATCCTATCCCCTTGAACTCTTACAACCCCATTAAGCCCGAAACCCCGGCCCTGAACACCGTAACAGAAAAACCATAGAGAACCTTAAACCCTAAAGCCCAAAAGTCTTTTTCGGAGGACCGAGCACACCTGGGAGAGGAAGTGGAGACGTGGATCACCGAGGAGGTGGAGATGATGGTGGCCATGATGGCGGCAAGGGAGGTGGAGATGGTACGCATGGTGGCCATGGTGGAGATGGTGGCAAGGGAAGTGGAGATGGTACGCATGGTGGCCATGGTGGAGATGGTGATCGAGGTGGTGGCCAGGGAGATGGAGATGATGGTGATGAGACGTGGTCCTGGAACCAGGGCTGGGACTGGTGGTCCTGGGGAGGCTCGCAGTGGGGAGGATCGTCGTACCGGGATGAGGACTGGCAGGGGGATCAGACCGGCGAGAAGGAGCCTGGGCTTTATATTGTTTTTGTGTTTATATACAGAATGTAGTGTCTGGAAAGACATATAGTACATGAGTTAAACCCTGCAGGATGCCCCGCACAAGAAGGACGACAAGAAGGATCCCCCGCCGCCACCGCCGCCGCAGAAGGACCAGGAGCCTTTGTTTTAGATGGTTAATTGTTGTGTTTGTTTGGAAATATAATGTCTGGAAAGACAAGTGGCTTCATTGTCTGGATAGACAATTTTTGTGCGAACCCCCCTAAAGCGCCAAGGATGGCCCAGAAGGAAAGAAGCAGAAGAAGAACCAGGATGACCCCGAGGACCCAGGACCCTGACCCCGCCGAAAAAAATGTCTGGAGAGACAAGTGTGTGTCTGGAGAGACACCAATGTACCCAAACCTTAACCCAGTAAAAACGCCGAAACCCTAGACCCT